AAGTCATCCGTTTTGTTGTTTACGGACCTTCGCGCTGCGCTCCATACTGTAATTCGTGAGTTCATTGTCTGTTTGCCTGACGCTAGCGAAGAACTCGAGAACATCACTGACGGGTTGCAACTTCCTCTTGCGTTAGGAGGGGGGATGCGCGTTGTGCTGGCAGAACCAAGCGTTTTCGAGCAAGTTGGCAGCAGTCACCTTTACCATACTATAATCGATATCAACTCATGCACGTAATTCCAAGTCAACATATGTAGCGATGTCGCGAGAGGCCCCACTGGCACCCGTCCTGGTATACCGCCCGCTGACCCTCTATTCACGTGAACCTTTGCACCTGTCCATGCGAGGATCAGAGAATGGTCTTTCATGGAAGGCATGTCCCTTGATGCCAAGGAGTTGGCCCAGGCTCCAAGTTCTTTTTCCGCGAGAAAGGAGATGAGAGAGATGCGCTAATAAGCTCCCCGTCAAATGTTCACGACCTTGCAGCGCTGCAGGCATGTGCGAGCGCGTATGAGGTGATTCTCCAATCAATCTTCACACTGAAGGGGACCTAGTGGACATAGAAGAGATTGGCCAAAGTAGCTGGCCGATTTCGGTATGCGGCTCTCGGTGGGCAGCTTTCGGTGGAAGCCCCATTAATCGGGAGCGGCAAAGAGGGGGTGTCCAAGAGGGGGGGTGCAAATCATGACCGGCGGCATGTGCGCGGCCCAGCGGGGGGGCCAGGGACGTAATGAAATAAGAAGATGCGCCATGAAATCTGGGGAAAGATCATGGCCCACGCCATGATATCCACCCCCCCTAGTCATCACCCCCCTCTTTTCCGCCCCCGAATTAAGAGATTGGCGAAAGTTGCCGGCCGGTTTCGGTGGGCGGCTGTCGGTGAGCGGCTGTGGGTGGGCGCCCCCTCTCTGTTTCTCTCTCTCTCTCTCTCTCTTTTGCTGATGCTGATGTTCTCTCCAGGCCATTGTGGGGACGTGTTGTGGCCCTCTTGAATCGTCGAGGGGCCCTCTCAGGCCGTCGAGAGTACCTCCGAAGGCTCGCCTGGCTCATCTTGGGCCCCTCGTGTCCCGTCCTGGGGCAATATTGGAGACCTCCCAGGCCATTTGAGCCGAGGGATGCCCGAAATGGCGAGGATGCCAAAACCCTTCAAACACGCAAGGGCAGTCAATGAGTGAGCCTCTTAGGGCCCCCTTGGGAAACTGCGGCCGGGAATGGTGCTTGCAAAACTTTCGGACCATCCACTGATTGGATTTTTTCTCCGGTGTGATTCGTTTAGCTAAGGTGGCTCTGGGCATTGTAAATGAAGAAATGAAAGTAAGAGGGTTCAGCATTAATTTTGGGGAGGGGAAGTCCGCCCTTCTTTTGCAACCTGTGGGTCGGGGGGCAAAGGCCTTCAGCAGGGAGATAGGAATGCTTCAGGGGCGCATGATGGTCCCAGGGATCCAGCAGGATGTTTTCTCTGCTCGGACTTGTACACACCTGGGCTCTATGATACACATCAGTGGCAATAGAAATGCTGAGATGACGCATAAGCACAAGTCACGGCTGAGCGTTCTTGGAGGTCTACGGGGTGCCGTCTTGAAGCGCAACTATGACCTCGAACCAGAGCCACATTTCAAACTTGCCGGTGCCTTTTGCAATAGTCGAGAGTTTCTTCATGATGTCGCGTGGGCCCCGCTCACCGCAGGCAATCAGGCCTTTTTGGATGGAGCTGATCTAATTTAATTGAGAGCGGCTGATGCATACAGAAAACAGGATGACGCATGCTGGGGATAGTCCAATGCCAAGCTGTACGCTACAAGCCGCTGTTTACCCCCACTCCTTAAACTCCAGTTGCGCAGGCTGAGGTATCTGCAGCAAATGCTTTTGTTTGCTCCACACGGGCTGTTGTACATGCTTGATTGCTTGGTAGAGACGCGAGGCACATGGGCCGAGCTCATCCATCAAAAGATTATTTGGAGGTACGATCGGGTCACGATCCCTGGGTCCTGGAGCCCTGTCGGGGGGGATCTTGGTGGGTCCGCGTGGCTACGCACAGCAGGAAGCGGTGGATCTCTTGGCGCAGCGAGTCGGAGCGTAGCGCTGCTCAGTCAATCAGTAAGCCGTGCATCCAGAAGCACGCGTTGGCACATGCCTGAGACACTCCAAACACGCGCCTGAACGGCCGGGCTACACGCCAAACACGTGCAAAGGGCGCTTGGGGTCAGACCTGAGACAAGCCAAACACGTGCGGAAGCAGCCGGGCGACACGCCAGACACGTGCAGGTGCAGCCGAGGCAGAAGGCTGGCGAGCCGAGCTCAGGGCAGCCTGCGACCGCGGCGGAGTGCCCGTGCCGCCCGATATTCGACCACCCGAAGCAGAACTAGTTGTTTCTCGGCAAAGTGCACTGCTCAGCGGCCAAACAGCGTCTACCCCTCGCTCTGCCTTGCGGAGCGCGCACAATGCTAGAGCATAGCATCTGGGACAGTGGGGTGGCGGCCCTCAAGGATCCTGTTGACCCTTCTCTGCCGCGCGCACCCTGCACTGTCGAGGCAACCATTCTCGTCTGTGCCCCGGAATCGACGTGCAGAGATTGTGGCCAGGTCTTCAACACTGAGTGGCTTGGTCACGTCATCACACTGGAAGGCATCCTCAATTTGACCCTGCAGGATGTTGGCACCTGTTGCCAGTCGTGCGGACATCGTTGACACTCGAGGGGTCGTCTCTTGTGGCACCTTCGCTTTGGATCCAGCAATTGCCTTCCGTGCTTTGCCATTGATTGCAGCCTTTGAACAATGAAGAGCTGACGAAATTCCGCGTCGAGGGCTCGAAGGTAGCCAAAGCTGTGCGTTCCAAAGGTGGCGCACAATTGTCGGCTGACCTACCTCCCGAACAGTTCGTTGGACCGACCCTCGGTGGAGAAAGGTTGCTGGCAATAATGCGTAATTCTACCACCAGCGTCGAGAGATCCCGAGAGCACGGTGCGAACGCCATCATGCAGGTCCCGCGTGCACCCAAAGAGACGGCATTCTTGTTAGCGGCCAGAGGCGGGAGGGGACGTTCAGAGGCATGCTGAGGTTTTGTAGAAACGGAAGTCCTGGCCCGTGGTGACGATTTCAAGCGATGTAGACAGTAGCCAATGATCCAGAGGCTGGTGATTTGACGGTGTGGAGATATGTAAGTATATTCCTCTGTATGGTGTGGTCTGAGCAGGCCCTGAGGGTAATTGGAGACCCGCCGTGTGATACGTGGAGCAGAGGCCCTGCCCATCCCCCCCAAATGGAGGAACTACGCCCTGCGTGATGCGTTCCGCCTCGTGGCTGCGGGGGCACCCGTGTAAGCCTGCCGAGGAATGGAAAGAGATTATGTTAGGCAACCGCTTGCTACAGGCAACAGTGCAAGCGGCATGCGTGTGCTGTGACGTCGCTGCCTGCATCATCGAGCACCCCGCCGAGCCCAACGCACTCTGAGTTTCTTAATAAGCGTTGGGGGGGGGTACCCCCCCGACGGGGGTCAGCCTCACCTCGTCGTCGCGCCGCAACGGGGGGGCTACCCGCGACAGGGGGCCGATGTGAGGCTGCCGGCGGGGGTGACGCCCACCCGACGCTTATTGAGAAACTCGGAGTACCCTGCGGCAGGTTCGTGTCGTGCCGACCCCAGCGTTGGTTTTTGACACCGCAGGGATCGTTCAACCTTGAACGATCGGCCGCTGCCGCAACGTCCAAATCGTTCCACATCGATCGATTCTGGGTCGCCCGCGGCGTTCAACCTTGAACGCCGCTGGCGGGGTCGCCGCTGGTCGACACGACGCAAACCTACCGTACTTCCCCTCGGTGTGGGAGCTTCCAGAAGTGAAGGCGCTGATGGGCCTGAGGCCTAGGGCGGCCATGCGCTTCGTGAGTTTAGACCAGTGTTGCTGTGGCGCCTAGTCTAGGAAACACACTGCACTGCTGTGCGTCAGTGTCGTTCGCCTAACCGATCTGATCCGCGAGTTGCAAGGACAAAGAAGGTGCCCGTGCAGTTCCCATCGTACAGTGCTGATGGGAACCCATGCTTCAGGCGAGTTTTAAGTCAGCAGCTGCTGCGCAAAATCCTTCCAGGACGTCCAAGCTGCTGGTCGCTTCTCTTATGTCATACGTCTCAGGGATGGCATGCACCGAAGACCTGCCAGACGTGTGCGAAGATTTCGCTAAGTGGTCTATCCCGTTCGATCCATGATGGGGGAATTTCGCTCCCGACGTCCACCGACCACGGTGACCAACACAGGCCAGCTCGTCTGAGTTTGTTTCTCATTGTTTGCATATATCATTACTGCAGCCTCGTGATTCAGTCGGTGCAGGAGGAAGAAAGGAGGAGAAGGAAGGAAGGAGAAGGAAACGCGAGGCGCTGAGGATCCCAAACGAGGACCAAGCAACAATACAGGATGGTTCGGAATTTGATCCACCTGCACTAGATTGTCTCGAGGGCCTGAGGGTATCAAAACGTTTTATAAACAATAACCAACACTTGCCCATGTCAAGTCGTGAAGGGCCCTACAGCTACCTCGTGGGAACACTGGTAAGCGCTAAAAGCATGAGAGAGGACAATGAATATGTGCCCAAAGATGCAGCAGAGGCATATGAAGCGGAGGCCATAACAGAAGTAAGCATGGCCAACGCCATCATCATGACGACCGAAATGATGCATACAACCACAGATGGAGGCTGAGACCACGAGCTGGCCAAGTAGAAGCATAAGCAGAAGAGCAAGGAATGGGAAGGACAATGATATAGAGATGGGGCAGCTGTTGCGGCGGCAACCATAAAACATGTCAAGGACAAGGGCCGGGGGGGAGGGGGGGCGACAGCGGCGGAGATATACGCAAGGGCAGAGGTGAGGAGAGAGAGAAAGAGAGAGAGGGACACACTTAGCAGCAGATGATGGGCCGGGAGAAGGCAGGGATGCACTCGGGAACGACAAGCAGCAGGGGACGAAAGGAATCAAAACAGAGGGCCCACTGCTAGGAGGGAGGCAGCGGAGCCTTCACCGGTACAAAGGCAGGGTCTCTGCCCCGCAGAGTGAGCCAACAGATCGCGCCAAAAATCCTCCACTCCCAACGGCCCTGTCTGTCACCCCCGCGGGGCGCAAGAGCAATGTCGAGCGCAGGGCCGACGCAGCGGGAGATCTCTACCGATGTCCGTCGTCAATTGGAGTGGCCATGCAAGTTCGCACAGACAAACGCACAGACACACACACACACTCACACACACACACACACGAAGGAATCCTCCGCTTCGGCGATCCAAACATCTACGGAGGCCTCTCGGGCGAGGAGGAGGAGGAGGAAGAGGAGGAGTAGGAGAAGGAGAAAGGCGGGGGGGAGGAGGAGGAGGAGGAGGAGGGAGGAGGAGGAGGAGGAGGAGGAGGAGGAGGAGGAGGAGGAGGAGGGAGAGGAGGAGGAGAGGGAGGAGGAGGAGGAGGAGGAGGAGGAGGAGGAGGAGCAGCAGGAGGAGGTGGAGGAGGAGGCAGAGGAGGAGGACGAGGAGGAGCCGCTGGCCCCCGCTGGCCACCCGCCGCTGCCCGCCGTCTCTTGGCCAGAGTCGCTCAAAATCGCTAGGCACACGCCCGAAGAGGCGCGCAGCTCGGCCCAAGATGGCCTGAACATCGGCGTCACCCCAACATACTTATACTGTATGTCCGTCGCCCCCCCAGGGGCGACGCCCGCACCGAGAAATCCTACAGTATATGCGTCGTGGCGGGCGCTTTCTGGCCACACCGCTCGGGAAACGATATACCTATACGACCATCCTTCGGGTGATAAGGAGGTTCAGGGGGGGGGAACCAACGTCTCACTCGATCGGTCTCACTATCGATCTCAGTATCGATCTCACTATCGGTCTCGCTCGATCGATCTCACTCGATCGAACTCACAATCGATCTCACTCGATCTATCTCATTCGATCGATCTCACAATTGATCTCACAATCGATCTCACAATCGATCACACAATCGATCTCACATTCGGTCTCAATATCGATCTCACTATCGATATCACAATCGCTCTCACAATTAACGTCATCATCATCATCATCAACATCATCAATATCAACATCATCACCAACATCGTCATCATCATAAGGGCACCGTCATCATAATCGTCATAAACATCATCACCAACGTCAGCATCATCATCGGGACAACATCATCATCATCATCATCATCGCATCATCAACATCATCATCATCATCATCATCATCATCAGCAGCAGCATCATCATCGGGACACAGTCATCGTCATCATCATCAGCAGCATCAGCATAATCATCATCATAATCGGGACACCATCATCATCACCATCGTTCTCATCATCCACATTATCATCAACATCGTCATCATCCTCGGGACACCATCATCATCATCATGATAATCGCATCATCATCGACATCATCATCATCAACAACATCATCATCATTGGGGCACCATCATCCTGAGCAACATCATCATCAACATCGTCATTATCATTATTATCATCATCGGGACACCATCAGCATCACCATCATCACCATCATCATCGGGACACCATAATCATCATCAACATCATCATCATCAACATCATTATCGCCGGGACACCATTTTCATCAACATCATCATCACCAACATCATCGGAATCAGCATCATCATCATCATCATCAGCATCATCATCATCATCATCATCATCATCATCATCATCATCATCATCATCATCATCATCATCATCGGGACACCATCACCGTCATCATCATCATCAACATAATCATCATGAGCATTATCATCCTCATCATGGGGACACTATCATCATCATGGACACCATCATCAACAGCATCATCATCTTCATCGGGACACCATCATCATCATCTCATCATCATCATCATCATCATCATCATCATCATCATCATCATCATCATCATCATCATCATCATCATCATCATCATCATCATCATCGCGGGACACCGCGGGACACCGGCGGGACACCGCGGGACACCGCAGGACACCGTGGGACACCGCGGGACACCGGCGGGACACCGCGGGGCCCCGCGCGCCCGGAAGGGAATCATTTGGTCCGGCCGCGCCTCAGCCACGCGGGACACCAACGGGACACCGGCGGGACACCGCGGGCCCCCGGCCGCCCGGAAGGGAGACATTTGGTCCGGCCGCGCCTCAGCCACAGGAGACTTTTTCTCGCCCGCCCACGCAGCTTCGCCTCGCACGCACGGCACGCACGAACACGAAACCGAAATCGATTTCCCGGTGGGGGGGCTCTCCGTTCCACTTCGATCTCACCCCCTCACCTCCGACTACAAGATGGGTATACTATATGTTCGGGTCGGACGCGCGTCTCCCAGGAGGACGTCAAGTATGAGTATGTCTGTGCGTCCCATCAAAACGACCCAAAAGGGCAGCGACAGAATTCTTGTTTTTTTTCCGTCAGCAAGCTCGGCTCAATCGACGTGCATCCGCTGAGCTGCGAGGATCGGTCACAACAACAACGATAGCTCACCCTGGCATACGTTGCAATTGCACGGCGCCGCCCGTGCCCTAGGAACACCTGATCTCGTTGCACAAGGTTTCCTGGGAACGCTTGATCTCGCTGCACATGAGGAGAGCAAATCTAGTCGCAGCAATCTGAATGTGTGCTTTGACGGCGGCGTCGTGGCGCAGGCTGCCAAGACGAACGATTAGACGGAGTGCAATGAGACCCGTAAAGAGGACGAGAGAGAGGAGAGCGAGCGAGAAAGAGAGAGGGAGGAGGAGGAGGAGGAAGGAGGAGAGAGAGAGGACAACACAAAATAGATAACCAGATCTTCAGTGAAGCGAGGGCGGACAGCGGCACACCGCGTAAACACTCCGAGGCCTCCGCGCCGCGTGCTGCTCTGGCCCCTGGCGCCGTGGCCTCCTCAGTGCGTGGCCGCCTGGAGCCCTGGATCCCCTTCCCAGGGATCGGCTCCTCCACCTCCTCCTCCACCTCCACCTCTCGATCCCATAGCCTCCTCCACCTCGCCCTCGGAGAGGCGGCGCGCGACGAGCTGCGAAGCTCGCCCGTGCGCCGGCGCCCGTGGCCAGGTCGCGTGGGCGGGTCGCTGCTCCTCCTCCTCCTCCTCCTCCTCCACCTCCTCCTCCTCACGTGTCCGAACTTTGACTGGCGGAGGAGGAGCAGCACAACACCGGGTGTCCGCCGCAGATTGGCGGCGCGAGGGGGCGCGCCGCCGCGCATGAGGGTGCGCGTCCCCCGGGTGGCTGGGAAGTGCGCAGACTGCCGCGCGCTCCCAGTCACGATCGCGTCGCAAAAGAGAGAGCAAGACGGGAAGTGTTTTTGGGCAATCTCGGCCTCGCGGGGCCCTCGCCCTTCTTCTCGTACGCTGGTTGGAGGAAGAGCTGGAGCGCGACAGGAACTTAAAACTGCGAGTGCGACGCACACAATGTGTGGGATGGTGGTACAGTTCAGACTGCGACCGAAGTTTTACGCTGGCAATGAGTCGGCGGAGGAGGAGTCGGCGGAGGCGGAGGAGGAGGAGCCTATGGCATACATGCAGTCCCCGCTCTGTCGAAGTCGCGCTCAACACGACATAACTATCCGACGGGACCTGGTTCAGACTAGTGGCCGCGCACTTGTCGAACATTTGGGCTAAAGCTAGCCCGAACGACCAAGCCAAAACGGATTGACGTCGACCAAACCTGGCTGTTCTGCCAGAGACGGGTCGACGAGATGGCGACCTCGCCGGAGCAGATACTTAAACGGACAGTCGCGAGACTGGTGTGCATTGGGCGTGCGCTTGGTGCGCGCTCTGTTGGTGGTACCAGGCTGGATCCATCTGCGGGCGAAACCAACGACGGTTGTGCGTTGGAGGCAGGGTCCCCGTGAGGCCCTGACGCTAGCCAATGAACCTACGGCACTTCGCACAAAATAAAGTGTGAAACGCACAAAAGTGAGCGCCCCGCGGCTGCGCCGCAGATGTGCACCAATATTGCGCCTCTGCGTGGCGGTGCGCCGAGAGCCAGGCGGCCGGCGGTGCGGGGGGCTGCGACGGCGCACCGGGGTAGCAGCCCGCGACAGCGCCCGCAGCGTAGGGGTCGGCGCAGGCGTCGGCACAGGGCTCGGGCAACGCAACCTCTGGGGCGCCGAGCCAGGGGCGCGCCACGTACTGTGAGGGCTCGCGGGCTCGGGTGGGCTGGCGGGCATCGCTCGGCGTCGGGTCCACGGGCGGCTCCAGCGCGGTCCCGCCATCACGGGGCGCCCTGGTGCGCTTATCGACCCAGTACCTGGCACCGTCAAGGTCTCCAGCCTTGCTGCACGCCTCGATGATCGCGCTGCAGGCCAGGACCTGGCTGTCGCCAGTTCTCGAGTCCACCTCCACACCCGGCGGAGAGAAAGCGCGGGCCAAGGTCCAGAAGGTCACACCGTCAGGGTGGATCCCGCTGCATACCATCATCTCCAGCCAATGCTGCACCTGCGGGATGTTCCCCTGGTTCACGGAGGCGTTGAGCAGGCTGTTGAACGAGATCTTATTTGGCTCGAAGCCCATGGACCTCAGCTTGCGGAACCACACTTCAGCTGTATAGGAGTCGCCCTTCTGCGCGCACGCATGCAGCATGGTGTTGAAGCACGCGAGATTCGGAGCGATCGTGTTGCGACGCATCTCCATGAACCATTTCTCTGCCCTGTCCACATCACCAACCTTTGCACAGGCATGGATGACAGCTGCAAATCGGATAGTGTCGAGCTTGATGCCATTCTGAACCATCTGACCGAACCAATGCTCGGCTCGATCCACGAGGCCCAGCTTAGCGCACGCGTTGATGACGCTATTGTATGTCTTCTGGGGCGGGTTGTACATCAGGAACAACTGAACGAAAGTTAGAACCTGGGGGAAACGTGAACATGGAGAGGAGGAGGAGGTCGAAAAACAGGCCGTAAAAGTCGAACATCGGGACGAAGTCGCTCGGATGCCCTAGGCTCTCTTCAACGCCTCGCAATCCTCTGCCATCTGCGCCATGGCAACGAGCCCCATGCGGCAGACGGCCACCTGGAGCTCCGCTCTGCGGGCCGCGGACGCGTGAGCCGGGAAAGT